GTGCTGCTGTGTCTCTGACTCCTCCCCCTTCTCTTCACTGAAGCGCGCGCGCGTGTCTGTGTCTGCGTGCGTGTGTGTGTGTGTGTGTGTGTGTGTGTGTGTGCGCGCGTGTGCGTGTGCGTGCGTGCGTGCGTAACCCTCTCCTCCCTCTTCAATCACGTGCGGCTTTAACCGAAAGGGGGAAAAAACAGGAGGAAAAAAAAAAGTCGGCTCCCATTAAAGCGGCTCCCTCTTAGGAGCCGGCTCATGTCGTTCACTTCAAAGAGCCGGCTCTAAGAGCCGGCTCGTTCGCGAACGACACATCACTACTGTCCATCATAGCTTTTAGCTTAGCTAGCATCCTCCTGTTGCCCACCTCCTATTCTGACATCCTCGACAATTGGAGACACTCACTTCATGTAACACGACGTGATTTGTACTGACTGCGTGAACATATGCCGTTATCCCCCTGCATTGTTATTTGAATGTAATGCTTTGAAGATAAGATATACCTGTATTTATATAAATTAAGGAAATTATAAACAAGTTTTACTAGATGTCGAAATGTGTTGTAATTAACTAGAACAACAAACAATTCATCGGGATGAGCCATCTTTTTTTCGTTTACATTTGCCTCGAACACTGAGAGGTAGGAACTGAAACAATTCGAGTGTGATAATTCCCATTTCCCACCTTCGTGGAATGCAGCATTAAGCAAGCGTGCGTTTCCTTCCGTTCTGTATTGTTTCTGTATAGTTCTCAATAAAGTTATTAAATAAAAAACAAGCACACGTGACCCGAGAGGCAAAAGTCGGTTAAATGTGAGCTGTCCACATAAATCGCCGAGTGAGCGCAACATTCCTTTCTCTTGTTGCTAATCTCGCCAAACTGGACAAGCGAGAGTTGATAGACTGCCTGAACAGAACAGCGCCAGGAAAAGCCGCGTCGTCACCCTCGCTGGAGGACTGATCGTAAGTCAGCCAAATTGTTTATGATAATGTTCTGCTAGCTGTTAGCTTCCCGGCTACGGGAAGTTATAGATCTTTTTTTTTTCTTCAAACGTAAACATTAACGGTGGCTAATTGTAACATTGACAGTGCCTGACTCCAGTGAACGTCTACGTCCATACTTGAATGTATCTTGGCGTAACAGTGGTTGTGTAGCAGCTTCTTCAAGATATAAAATCTGCTTTATGAAGTCCAAGATTGGCGCCCGAGTCGGCAGCCGTCGGCAAGTGCTCTCATGAGCTGTTAAGGAGGTGCGAATCAGGAAGAATACCCGGTAGACTCGTGCAATAATAAGACACGTTCAGATGACCACTTCAGGCATATTTATTCTATTGCCAGAACAACTTGGCAGCACGGCGTAACACGAACCGTGGCCATGAGCATAGCGTCTGCTTACAGAAGGCGGAAGTTGTGTTCCCATGAACATCCGGCATGTCCCTTCACAACAAAAGCACAGAGCAAGAGCGCTACACATAAATCCTTAACACCCCCACTCCCTATTAGGCCAAACAAAAAAGATAGTATTTTCCGGTAACTTCAAATTTCAGCATAAGGTCGGTAGGTCGGACAAAGTTTTTTTTTTTTATCTTTTTTTTTTTTCCCTGTCAAAAATTTAAACAAAATAACCATAAAACATAAAACAAGAAGACATTGAACCTGCCGTTCCGCGGCCGCCGCCGCCGCACCTATTTAGTTTTCTCCCCGCTCCGGACTCGGGGGGCCGGGGTGCGCCGCCGCCGCCGTCCTCCTGCGCCCTCGGTTTTTACTCGGCCCGTGGTGTTCATCAAATAGTTCGCCTAAATTTTTCGATACATCAATGGATGCTATTTTCTTAACATTACGGTGCGAGCACGCGACTGTAACACAGAAAACGCGGTTTAGACAGACGACAGGGCAAACGACGCACGCGCTCAACGTGAATATCGCGAGAGTTTGCAGCGATGTAAACCCTCTACACAAAAATGTAGAGGGTTGTTTGGAAAAAAATGCCGACCGTAAAATTTTTTTTCCACGTAGAAATTCTCGGTCTGTCGGGTTACCGGAAACACACTACTTTTTTTTCTACGCCTTAGCTCACTGGGTAAAACAACAAAAATGTATAACATAACATATTCACAGTTCAACACCCTCCAAAGATCCGCGTGGCAAATTCCCTCAACTTTTGTTTAGTCGCTGGTTTTGTTGTACCTTTTGGATATCTGAATACATGTTTTACTGTATTTCCAATGCTCCACAGATGGTTCACTAAAATGCTGAGATAGTTTGCTGACAATATAACTGATGTCAGGTCTTGTACATGTAGATAAGTATATTGAACTTCCCACTGCTTCCCTGTACTGTCTCGGCTGTTTTAGCTTTTCTGCATTTTCAGTGTATTCTAGTTTTGGTTCACAAGGGGTCTGTCTTGTTTTACAGTTTTGCATTTCAAACCTTTCCAGAATCTTTTTCACATATCTTTCCTGTGACATTTTAATTTGTCCATCTATTTGTTCAAAATCTATTCCTAGGAAATGTTTTAATGTCCCTAAGTCCTTCATTTTGAATGTCTGAGTATTTGTTTTACATCATCCATTAATTTTTCATTGTTAGCTGCTAGGATAAGGTCATCCACCCATACGATAAGGATTAGTTTTTCGCCTTGTTTCTCTTTTGTATATACACAATGGTCTGCAGAATTTTGCTCAAAACCATTTTCACATAAATATGAGTGTGACACAGTATTCCAGAGTCTGCCCGACTATTTGAGTCCATACAGAGATTTCCTTAGTTTACACACTAGTTTTTCACCAGTATTTGACATTTTCTCGTAACCTTGTGGTTGTTCGATAAAAATGTCACACTCAGTGGGTGCGTGTAAATACGCCATTTTCACGTCCATTTGATGAAAAATCAAATCCTCCTGTGCCACCTTTTGCATGACAACTCTGACACTTGTCATGTCAGCTGTGGGGGAAAACGTTTCTTCATAGTCCATTCCTGCTTTCTGATTGTATCCCTTTGCCACATATCTAGCTTTGTATTTGTTTGATCCATCAGAGTCCATTTTCAGTGTGTAGACCCATCTGCCACCAAGTGCTTGTTTACCTTTAGGGAGTGCCGTTAGTTCAAATGTCTCATTCTCCTCCAGTGAATGCATCTCCTCGTCCATTGCACTTTTCCACTGCCTGGACTTGGATGATGTTACAGCATCCAGGTAATTCTTTGGTAAGTCACTCACTGCTCGATAACAGAAATCAATACATGTCTGTAACCTATCCATTTTATCTTCAGTTTCAAAATCTTGGAGGTAAGCTGGCTTTTGTTTAGCTCTGTGTGGGTTCCTCTTAACATCATTTTCAACATTAGTTACTTCTCGTCTAGCTTCGACCTGCTCATTTAAAATGTCTTTATTTCTTACAGGACTTTCTGGTTGTGTTACTTCCTTTTTTGATTCACAACTAACATAGTCCCTGTTTGCAATTTCAAATTCTGCATTTGCCTCACTTGTTTGAGTTTGTTTTTTGACCTTGCTTTTTTTTTTGTGATCTTCACTAGTCTGTGCTTTTGGACCTTTTCTATCTCTGGGTAGTAAGGCCAAACAAAAAAGAGAGTGTGTTTCCGGTAACAAGAAATTTCAGCATAGGGTCGGTAGGTCGGACAAAGTTTTTATTTTTTTTTTTAATCTTTTTTTTCCCCATCAAAAATTTAAACAAAATAACCATAAAACAAGAAGACATTGAACCCACCGCTCTGCGGCCAGCGCTCCCGCCGCCTATTGAGTTTTCTCCCCGCTGCGGACTCGGGGCCCGGGGCGCGCCGCCGCCTCCGCCGTCCTCCTCCGCCCTCGGTTTTTACTCGGCCCGTGGTGTTCATCAAATAGCTCGCTTTATTTTTTCCATACATCAATGGATGCTATTTTCTTAACATTACGGTGCGAGCACGCGACTGTAACACAGAAAACGCGGTTTAAACTGTCGTCGGAGATCGCGGCCGCCGCCATGTTTCAATGTTGCTGACAGACGACAGGGCAAACAACACACGCGCTCAACGTGAATATAGCGAGAGTTTGCACCGATGTAAACCCTCTACACAGAAATGTAGAGGGTTGTTTGAAAAAAATGCCGACCGTAAAGTTTTTTTTCGACGTAGAAATTCTCGGTCGGTCGGGTTACCAGAAACACACTACTTTTTTTTCTACGCCTAAACTAGATAGGCTGGGCTGTTTTTGTCGTAACCTACAAAAATGCCTTCTTCACATCTAGGTCTAGTTTTCCCTTTTCTTGTTTGTAACTGAAACAAACAGATCCATGCTTTTTCATTTGAGACACATTGGGTAGCTTTCCTGTCAGTAGTTCAAAAGCTGTTTTCTGAGTTCTCCTGTTGTAACATCTGTTTCTTATATGAGCTGCTGTTTGAATAGCATAGTTCCATAAAGTGTTTGGTAACTTGCTCTCTAAAAGTAAACATCTAGCCATGTCAAACAACGTTCGCCAACCTCGCTCAGCAGTGCCATTCTGGTGTGGCGAATAGGGTGCAGATGTTTCGTGTCTGATTTTATTCTTTGTCAGAATCGATCGAAAGTTTCGATTTGTAAACTCCGTGCCATTGTCGGAACAAATGCACTTGACTTCTCCGTAGGGTGCTACATTAGCTAAAAACGTTTCCGTTGGTAAAACTATCACTTTTTGACTTTAGAAAATACACTAGTCTTGCACCAGAGTAATCATCTGTAAAAGACTGTGCATACTTGTATCCTTCTAAACTTGTGGTTTTCATTGGACCTGTCATGTCAGTGTGAACAAGCTCAAGTTGCTTCTTTGCCTCTATGTCTGGTTCTCTACTTCTTGTTTGAGTAAACTTGCCTTGAGTACAAATCTCCCATATCTGTTCTGGTTTTGCAACATTCCTCTTAATGTCCATACCTTTTACCACACTCTGCATTTTGACAATATCCTCAAAATTACAGTGACCTAGGATCTCATGCCAGGTTTGCACATCATGGCATACGTGACACGGATCATTGTTGTCAACAGTAGGTAGGTAATACAGCTTTTCATACTCATTTATCTCAAACTTATTACCGTCTTGGGTGATCATGTGACAGTCTCCTTGTCTGAAGACTACTGTTGCTCCACCACCTGTAGCTCTGGATACCGAAAAGATGTTGTGGTGGTACGAAGGCATGTACAGAGCGTTCCTCAGTTGTGCTCTGCGCGTGTGCCCCTTGCCGTCCAGAAGATGTATCACCGCCGTTCCTCTGCCTTTGGCCATTCCACTGCATCGCGTTCCGTCAGCAAGCTCCACTGAATGAGTCTCGGGTTGGAATGTTTCGTCGAAGTTGATGAAGGTCCGCTTGTCATTCACAATATGGGATGTCGCTCCGGCGTCCACCATAATGCCTCTCATCTTGACCTCGGGCATCCACTCATCATTCTTGGCTTGGATTTTGAAGAAGTAGTCATTGTTGTCTTCCTCTGTGATTTTTCTCACTGTGTCCTGCTTCTCCTTCTTTTTACACAATGATTCCTGGTGTGTGTTGTTCTTGCAGACACTACACCACACTTGTCTGGTGCATTTTCGTGCTCTATGCCCTTTTAGTCCACATTTCAAACATGTCATGTTCGAGTCATCGTCTTTTCCTGAGTTGTTCGTGAGCTTCTTGTAGCTTCTTTCTTGCCGCGCATTTGTTTTCATCACATTGTCTGTGGTTTCGGTTGTCATGATTCTCTCAGATTCTTCATATATACGCATTCTTATTTATATCTTCATATATACCTTCTTTTGAAGTCAGAAAATGTCACATTGTCTTCATTCTGCGTAATATGTACAACCAATGGTTTGTACACATCTGACAAACCTCCAAGAATCATGGCTATTATCAAACCGTCACTGAGAGTCTCACCAGCATCGCAAAGCGCTGTAATCAGGTTCTCTGCTCTGATTATGTAGTCCGTGGTCGACTCATTTTCCGCTTTGTGTAGCTTTGTCAGACGTATACAGATTGATGATTCGTGGCTTACTCTTCCCTGAGTAATGCTCTCTCAGTATTTTCAGAGCCTTCCTGCCATCATAGGTTGCTTCATGTCTAATAAGTGACAGGCTTTTATCGTCAATCAGTCTTACTAGTTCAGCATAGCAGTCTTGATTCTTTACTCCGTCTGCATCTCGCTGTTCCTGGCTGATGAGTTCATTCAAAATAGTCTCTCTTAGCTTCAATGAGAGTAAATGTCCCAAAAATCTCGTTTCCCAAAGATCATACTTGTCTTCAGATCCGTCGAAGAACACTTGTGGGGACAGGCCTCCAACAGTACGAGCCACCGCCATCTTGTCACTCCTCATGCTTCAAAAACGTGTCTTTAGCAATCTTAGCTTCAGCTTCTCCACTTGCGTTATTTACCACGCTGTTGCTAGCCTTTATAAAATTGCACTCTCAATATCAATTACAAGCTCCGTGTAATGCGCCACGTTCGCTTTACCATGACTTGTCTTTCTTTGGCTCATATATGCCTTCACACCTCTTCATGTAGTAGCTTCTGTTAACTCCATGAGGTAGTCTCTCGCTGGCGCCACTTGCCTCTGTGCCTGGGCCCATAACCTGTTAAGGAGGTGCGAATCAGGAAGAATAGCCGGTAGACTCATGCAATAATAAGACACGTTCAGGTGACCACTTCAGGCATATTTATTAGTGATGTGCTCCACGGGTCAAATCCCTGAAGCGTGTGCTGAGTAGTCTAGATGAGTGTTTCATGAATGGGGAGTCGAAGCGCGTGTTGATGACGTCAGTGGTGACGTTTGAAGCCCTGCGAAGGGGGTGTACCATGTGACTGATTCAGGAAATGATACGATAGGTTCGAGTGTTGTTCGAAATACAGGCGCTCCCCGCTTTACGAGCTTTCGTGTTGCGAACAACGGTACATAGGAACATTTTTGCGGGTACAGGTATGTCGAAAAATGTTCTCGGACAGAGATGCTGTCAGTCAGATTTTGTATTGCGCGCCTTTTTCCGAGTACTGTAGTACTTCTTTCCGCCGCTAATACCGATGTGAGGCGCTGTGAGAGGAGGAGGAGGAGGAGGAAACGCTTGTCCCCATGAAGAAGTTCGAGACGGAACTCTCTCCCCCTCCATCATCTCCTTAAGCCTTCGAGTACATCTTCCAAAAGTATGTTAAACTTCATTTTATTACACTTATATAAGCCTTAAACATACTTGTATAAGCCTTAAACATACATTCCATACAAAATATAGCACTGAAGCAACTTACGTACGAATTCAGCCAGCGAACGATCCTTCGGAACGTATCTCGTTCGTTACCTGGGGAGCGTCTGTATAGTATTACCAAAAGAAAGTACATTTGAAGAATAATATTACAAAAAGAAAGGTATGTCATGAGAAAAAAAGTCAGAATACTATGAAAATAAAGTTAATCTTACAGTTATAAGATTAAGTCATGAAATTAAAGTACATTCTAATTTTTATGTAATATTCATTCACAAATACATCTGAGCGCTTGTTAATGCATTTTCCTGAGCAATTGAGTGTTTGTTTTTTTTTTTCATTTATTTTGACGTGTGAACATGAATGACCTCGTACTTCAAAGAACTTTGAGAGCAGATGACTTTTCTATGAATTAGTGGTCTCCAACTTTGTTTCCTAGCTTGATGTCGTCGATGTTTGTAAGTAGATGAGGAGGTGGGTAAATTTTTGGCTGGATGCTTGGCAGGAGGTCAGCTCGCACAAGATTTATTTGGTGTTTGCCATTTGTCACCTTGACCTACAATCACTCTGCAAACACAGCCAGAGCTTGCGTGTATGTGTGTGTGTGTGTGTGTGTGTGTGTGTGTGTGTGTGTGTGTGTGTGTGTGTGTGTGTGTGTGTGTGTGTGTGTGTGTGTGTCTTACAGAAGGCGGAAGTTGTGTTCCCATGAACATCCGGCATGTCCCTTCACAACAAAAGCAGTGAGCAAGAGCGCTACACATAAATCCTTAACATGAGCCTTGCTTTTTTTGTTGTTTTTGTGTTTGTTTTGTCACTTTGTGTTTGTTGTTGCATCACTGTTTTTGATTGGGAGGAATGTCGGTGCCATTTGACTGTCATTGCTGGACAGCTCTGGGGCGCTTGTGATTTTTTTGCGCCTGTAATGGGCAGCATTTTACACAGCCCCGCTTTGTTAGCGGAGAGATCAGTGCTGCTGGACGGTCTGTGGCTGGATGGATGCAAGGCTTGAGGAGCCGACGATAAGAAAGGAGCGTCAGCACTTAGCGCCGATGTGGATGTGGAACTGGGAGTCTTGGCTTGGAATTGAAGCTGAATATATAGGACAGGAGCTGTGATCTCTTTTCGTTTGTCAATGGACGCTACAGCTAGTGATGGCGGGATGAAGCCCCGTGAATGTATCGAGTCATTTGGGCCAATTGCTTCGCCAAAAGGCTGATCAATCGAGGCCCCATTTAATAGCTCATTCAGTAGTGCTGACATCTGCTGGTCATTTGATGTAACGCAGATGTTATGTGGTTAACAGGCGACAAACCAGTAAATCTGTGCACAAAATAATGGAAGTTTTGTCCATTAAATATTGTCTGTATATTTGTCAGTGGTATGTTCAGTTACTTAATGTGCTTGTGTAACTGGGACACACATTGGATAGAGGGAATGGTGTATTTTATTGATTTTTGTTCAAGAATAAAATCATTTTGACTGTGTTGGGGCTCAGTCGATTCCTTTTTTTGGAAATGATTTCCCCTGCCTTTGAGAAAACCCTCTCGCAGTGTTGGGAGATATCTGTTCGAAATGCTCCCAAACTAGTGAAGTCCTTCGCTTTTTGGGTGGCTCCGCCTCCATTCTCAAGCAGTCGAAGTAACGCAGCAATGATCCAAGAAGACTCACGTCAGACGGTCATGCGAGGGACTCTTCCTGTGTTTTCCGCGCCTTTTTATGGTGCGCGAATCACGACGTGAGTCAGTCACGTGATCGCTGAAAACGGCCTCGTTTGCCTTCGGTCACATGATCTGAAGAACAAAGGAGGCGGGCCTCGATACGGGCTCCATTTAACCACGCCCCCTTTGTGCGGGGCATGACTCGCGACTCCTGTTCCCTTTGTAACATCACTAGCTACAGCTTCGTGTTTGCTTTCAAAACGCAGCTTGTAGCAGACGTGTGCACGTTTAAAGCATGACGTCCCTGATCCACTGGTTAAAGGACACTTTGATCCTCTCCTTCTTTCATCTACAACTGCTTCAAACAAAGTGGATGCAGGAAAAGTGATTAAGATTGCAGGACGGTCTGTGTCTTACGTGTGTAGGGGGAGCTATAGAATTTATTCTGTGATATCCTGGCTTGCTTTTCAGTTTTGATGTATTATTTTCAATTTTCGTAGTTTCATTGAAGTAATCGTTAGTTTACGTTTTTTCTCTAGTCAACTGAAGAACAGAAGGCACGGAGACGGACAGACTTACCTGCATTTGTTGAAACTGTTTTAAAAAAACAAAACCACAGCTCTCCTTTTTTCGGAGCCGCAACAAAAACGTATTTAATAAAGCAGCGACACGGTTCACTGAACCAACAGCAAGTTATAACATTGGAAGCATCTCTACAGGAAGGAGCCATCTTGGAGTCGATGTATTACCGTAATGACCAATCCACAAGACGCACTGGATTTTAAGGCACTCTGTGAGCTTTTCTGAAAATGGAAGACTTTGTTGCGCCCTATAGTGTGGAAAATACCGCCCTATAGTGTGGAAAATACGGTAATAAAAACGATTCAGTAAATATATTGCACATACTAGTTACATATAAATTGTACCTAATGCAAATGTTTTGTCCTTAAGTAAAATACGACTGAACAGTAATTAGGCAGTGATTCTTTCAGGTACTCGTACCATACAACCACTGAATACAGTCGTTTATGTAACATGGGTGCATGACTGTGTAAATGCGAAATGCATTGCGTTGAGTCTTCAACTACCGACCTTCTGTTTGCGATGTTACGGAATCCTAGTCTCAGATTTCTGTGCTTTGCTGCTGTCTTGTGGCATTTAAGGCAATTACAAATTCTTTGGGGTGGGTGAATTATTCACTGGTTTGGTGTTCAGCTTTACTGGATGAGTTTTAGTTGTGAATAGCTTGGGATAGGTTCAGCAGAAAAATGCTGACTCTATTAACAGTGAACTCAACTCAACTGTATTTATAGAGCACTTTCAAACAGCCATCGCCTCAAAGATGCAGGGGATTACTGTACACCAAGCAAGCCTACTAAACAGTCCACCCGTCACAGCGATGTCACATGATGTGTTTTGCAGCTTGGACCAATTTAACCTGTTAAATGAACAATGTGTGAAATTACAATAAGCCCTCTGAGTTTTCTTGTTCTTCATTCACAGTCCTATCAAGATGTGGTCCGAAGGAGGCTCTTTCGTCAAGGGGGTGGCCCTGGGAGGAGTCTTCTACCTGTTGCTCTCGCTCCTGGGGAGTTTCAGCCCAAATGCCAAGTCTGGCTCAGAGGACCTTCACCAACACCACCATGTCCAGGCGCAGAGTAACGATAACCTGAAGCAGCTCTCGGAATCGCAGACGCAGGAGTTAAAAGATCAAGTCCGCGTCTATTGCGTCATCATGGTCCAGCCAAAGATTCTGGTCTACTGGGCCGCTGCCGTGGGCACCTGGAGCAAACACTGCGACAAGGCCGTGTTTTACACCTCAGAGTCATCCAAGGCCCTCGAGGCAGTTGACCTGCAGGAAAGAGATGGTTGGGCGAGGTTGTGTAAAGCTCTAAAGCATGCTTATGAGAACGCCGGGGACCTGCGCTGGTTCTTCGTGGCACAGCCCATGACCTTTGCCATCATCGAAAACCTCAAGTACCTGCTGCTCACCAAGGATCCCAGTGAGCCCTTCTACATGGGCAACGCCTTGAAGTCCGGGGAGCTGGAGTATGTCGCGTACGAGAGCGGCATCGTCCTCAGCTACGAGGCTCTGAAAAGGTTTGTAGGCGTGCTGGACGACAAGAACAAGTGTCCCATACGAGTGAACCGCCTGTGGAAGCTTAGCGAAGACAAACAGCTGGCCATGTGTCTCAAGTACACAGGCGTGTTCGCTGAGAACGGTGAGGACGCGCACGGCATGGGCCTGTTCAACGGGAAGAGCCTCGATGCTCTGATCAAGGAAAGTATGAAAAACAACCCCAAAAATGTGGTGGAGGGCTGCTGCTCCGACTTTGCCGTCACATTCAACGGCATGACCCCCAACCAGATGCAGGTGATGATGTATGGTGTATACCGGCTTCGTCCATATGGCCACGATTTCCACGACTTGCTCATGTTTGACCCGCCAGAAGGTTCGGACAATGACTAGGATCACAGGCTGCACCAGGCCTTTTTGTACGAGCTGCTTGAGTGTGAAGATGTTTTCCATTGGGATGCTCACTGGCGGAAATCCAGTTTTTACAAGTTTTGTACCTTTTGCACTTTTCACCCTGTTCCTGTGGCGTCGATTTAAAAAACAAACCAAAAAAAAAAACGTCCGATGGTCACTAACTGTCCTTTGAAGGCAAAGCTGGGAACTGCGTTAATGTGAAATAGGTTCCCGGAAACGTCAGACAGCTTTTTTTTTTTTTTTAATCAGATTCTGTCTTTGTGCTGTTCTGAAGCTGCATTACATGAACACACTAAATGCAGACACCTTGCAAATCCCATTTCATGTCTGCTCTAATTTTACAATTTAAAGACGGGTATGCTGGAAAAAAAAACGGGCTTCGGGAGCAGGACTGAGGAACCGATGGCATTTGATCCAGTTGGCCATGCATTTTGAAAAAAATATTTTATCTATTCAACCTATCTTTGTTTGATCATGTGTGTTTTATTCATGAGGCTTCGTTTCCATTTCATTTGGACTTTTGCTTTTTCAATTCAGTGACTTTTCGTTCTTTCTTTTCAAACAGGTTGGCATGTTTTGATTTTTTCAAAAGCGATTCACTTCCGTTTTGATGAGTTTGGGTTTTTTTTTTTGTTGAGTGCAAGAGTAAAACTAAAAAGGTGACTAAGCAAAGTGGAACAAAGAAAACTGCACGCTCCCAACGACCATTGCCCTTCCTCGCTTCGAAAAGAATCCAATTTCAAATGAACGCCGAAAGCTCCTTTGTGATAACCGACAAAGACAAAAAGTCCAATTTTGCAATTAGTTTTATAAAGCAAAGATTTGAATTTTATTTCATTCACCTAAATGCTATTTCCAATTTTTGTTTGAGCTATTTCGTTCGCTGCCGACCAGGTTTTAAAAATGGCTTAACTCTCCAAAATCGAGTATCACGTACAACATTATTGTCAAAAGTGCTGTATGTGCAGCACAGATAAAATTTCCTCCCTCTTAAACAGACAACAAGAGGAGCCGCTGCGGGTGCCCGCGCCGCCAAAATGGTTCCTAAATGCACTTTTTGCATTCCACAACATTAAAAAGCAGATCGCGTTGCGCTCTCTTTCTCTCGGATTTGTAATCTCACTTTGGTGCATTGATGGGGGCTGCCCATGTTGCTCAAGGCAGATGAGAACCGTAAAAACAAACGAAAAAAAAAATCAACAACCATCAAAGTGGAGGCTGTTCATTTCTTTGTAAGTGAGCGAACACTCAGACATGAAATAGCAAGCGGCTCACTCGATGAGGCGCCCCCCCCCCCCAAAAAAAAATAAAGTCAAATCAATAATTCATGGCCATGCGACAATCGCCTTGGTGTGCATTTTCAGCACGCCGTGTTGCATTACTGAAGACAAAGGCACCACTTCATTCATTCATTCATTGCTTCCATTCCAGGAGTTTTAAAAATGTAATGGCCCAACAGGTGAAAGCTTGAAGGTTCACTGCACCAATTCAAGACTGAATTTGGGTGTGTGTTGAATGATCCATTAATAACTACTTGCACTTGACAAATGTGATTAAAATGAAAAATAAGTGGAAATAGGTCCCATGTCCTGTTAATGATTAAGACGGTTCATTTTGTAAACACTACGGTGGCCATTTTACCATCCCTGAATTAAGGGTGTTCATGTTTAGTGTTACTTCCGAGCTGAAATTAAGCTTGAAGTCCAAATAAACGATGGAAATTTTGTTAACAACCCTGTCAAATATGAATGATTCAAAAAAGAAAAAACTGCAGTGGTGACAAACTATCTCTACAGTTCAGTACTCCGGAGTTCTCAGTCTTGGCACGTTTTCAGCATTTACTTTTAAAAGTACAGTATTTAGGAACACATCACTCAATTCACTTTTACAGGGTCTTTAGGAACATGTTCATGCAGTTGACAAATCAATGGGCTTGTTGGCAGGGTTGGATCACGCCTCAGTCATTGTGCAAACATCCTGTTTGACATTAACCAGGTGCAGTGTGAACAAAGAGACAAGCATTCATTCAAACTGAGAGAAGTTTCTTTTAATTGGTGCACATCGGTGGTGAATTGGTACAAAGCCTTAAGTCAGCGTAAACATCTGCTTCAAGAGCACTACAGATACATTTTGGCAGGGAGGTTGGGTGTTTCTTTTGTTATTTATACGTCTTCATGTGCCACAGTCCGTCGTTCAGATAGTGAACATTCTCGATGCCAATGCCCTTGTTGACTTTTTCTCTGTACAAAAAGACAAATGATTGTCGTGACACAGTCTACAACACCGGTTAATGCAGTTTTAATCTTACATGCTCTCTGCAGACAGCTTCATGACGCCAACGCACAGTGCATGCTGTTTACCCTCTGCCATAATGGCCTACAACTTCTTGTTAAGGACAACAGATGCTGCAAAAAATAATGTCACTTCACATGTGATTTTTTAAAGGTACACCTTTGACTGATTGGACTTCTTTAAGGAGGGAGGCATATTTGTACTTCTTTGGAAGAAACAATGTGACAATTTATGTCAAGTAAAATTGAAGTCGCCATCAAAACGAAACAATAGTAGACGTTTTCAGTCCCGGTACTTGTGTGCAGTTTGGCAGAAGGGCGAACAGTTCTCCAAAAAGAAGATACGTGTGCTTGCTTCGAGCTTTATCAGTCCTTTAAAAAATGTTGCGTATTTGCTTGTGGAAAGAACAAAAGCCGGACAAGTGCACTGGTATAGGCTGCAGCATATTTCATTCAGGCTCCGGACGCGCATAACTATGACGAAATCCCTGTGGGACAACACCTGAAGCAACTCTGGAAATGGAATACACATAAAGCTACTGCTCCCATTTGAGGTTTACTCTAAAAAAGTGACACCTGAAACAGAGAGTACACAACTCTACAATAAACACCAGAGATGAGCATTCCGTCGCTGGGACAGAAGCCCATTTTGGAGATGGAGGATGAGAAGTGTGTTTTTTTTATTTTATTTTATTTTTTTAAGAATAGACAAAGCAAGGACATAAAGGGGTTTTTGCCTGTCCCTTCGGTCATTCCTAACCGAGTTACGTGTATGGTGTCAGGAGGCAAAATAACAAGGCCAGAGTGTAGCCAAACACCGTATTTTCTTAACAGGCTATCAACAGGACAACACTAACTTGTACAACTCACTTAGTGACCATTACAGAACTCTTTTCCTTACTTTTTCATCTCAGCACTATTTTTATATCAATACTGCCACATAGTGTACAGTCGGAGAACATAAAGTACCGAGAGACACCCATTTCACTAAGACTGATGACAGAAACACGCCCAGCGTGTGGGAGAGAGTGACTTCACTTTGCTTCAAGCAGACAAGAGAAGCGCTGGTCCTCCGTCCAAAAAAGTTTACACTTCGCCAGTCAGTCTGGTGACCAACAGTGGTTGTGTTGGCAGCTAAATGCTATCTTGGTTGACACTTAAAACAGTTGAAAACAATTCAATCCAGAAAGAAAGCTGGCTGTGTTGTATGTCTCTCCGTGCCTGCCCACCAAGATGCTTGTGGCCCCCCAGTTGAGGCACGGATTTCCAAAAGTAACATTTTAATTATTTTATTTCATCATAGAAACTATTTTTGTTTTCTGTGTTTTGAGTTGCTTATCACTGAGCCATTAAAAATATAAAGAAACAGTGATGTCATTTTTGTTTGATTGATGGCCAGTCTTATCTTCAACAGCCAATCACAGCGTGACTGAAAATAAGGTTTGGTACGCAGGCGTATATTTGATGAATTAGCATTTGCATCTACTGTAACAGCACAGTCTAAAAGTTTTAATCAAGGCTCAATAAACAATAGTCTAAATCAGTACCTACACAGCAAAAAGTCAATAGAACAGAAGATCCCACCACTTCTGATGATTTAGTTTTTTGCTGCAGTATCGCTCCAAAATTATTTTATGCAGTCATACCATCAAAGTCCTAATTTGGGTGTTGTATATACATTATATGTACAAATAAAAACCTCCTCCCTTAATAGACACCTGGTGCTGTTGAGTAAATAAATGCTCCCAACCACTACATCAGCTCTTATAGCAAAATATTAATGTAACTTGTAAGGTGCTGAAAGGTTTGGCAACGTCATGCAAACCAACAACAGATAAGAAGGATACAACTACTGTGTCCGAGTCAGCTGGGTAGAGTTTGGCACCTGGTGACGTCAGTCCAGGACACATTATGTTGGCACCACTTAGGACAAATTTGATGGCACCTTTGTCTACTTGCTGGTGAGGAAGAATGAATGGATCTGTGAGGAAAGAAGAAGACTTGATGTTACCAGAAATTAATTTACTACATCATCAGGGTTCTCACTCTTTTCATGAAATTATTGTACAGGACTTTTACAGCTACCACAGTACAAGTGAACAACGAGTGAGATGTTCACATTTTGGGCGGCCTAGTAAATATTTTAACACCAACTTGCATTGAATCCAGGTTTAAAAGGCTTGCCATATTCAGACTCATGCAGCACACATGTGACACATATAACAGCATGGCCAATTTGCATACCAAATTGACAAAAAAAAAAAAAAACAAACAAAATGAACAGCTCTGAATTGATTCTTATCTTCACCCAAAAGAGCCATTCAAATGAAGGGCTTGTTTGCCAAAATGTTGACAAATTACTTTTATTTTGCTCAGTAAAGATGATGAAATACAGCTGCCTGACTAATGACTGATGGTTGGAGAGAGGCCAAAGCCCACGCTCGATAACCATGGCACTGCCTGCCACAGCCAGGTTGACTAGCCATGAGGCATAACACAACCTAAAAAATTTTATGAAAAGTATTATTGCACCTGGGGTCTCACTGATCAACGCTACGTACGCACAAAATGGGGTCTGAAAGATGCGTACACAACTTCCTGTGCAAAATGAGTAACCTATTGAAAAATAACTGAGAAAAAGTGCATACGTGTTAAAGTGGCCGGACTTATCACCACAGTGTACGCACAAAACCAGGGCTTGAAAGATTCGTATACAATGTCCTGCGTTAAGTAATTAATCCTCTCAAAAAAATTGACGGGAAAAAGTGCGCACATGTACAGCAGCTTTCAGAGATGAAAGTGGACTATCCTGAAAATTCCGGAAAAAATAAAAAATATACCTCTAAACCCTGTCCTACCTAATGTTGATTCTTCACACAAAAAACAAAAAAATTATATCTCTGTTTGAAGCACTTAAATATGGCAAAATGTCCAAAAATACAAGAGGGGCTAATACTTTTGCAAGGTATTGTGTGCTTTTTGCCCCTCCTGGGATTTGCTTTATTTCCCCCGATAACAAACTTTACAAGAGACTATTTTCCAATTATTTTCTCTCTCTTTTTGTAAAACAAAAAA